AGGTGCATATACATTTATAATAGTTACATCTTCCTGTTGAATTGAACCCTTAATCATTATATAGTGCCCCTCTTTGTCTCTCTTAACAGTTTTTGTATTGAAGTTTATTTTGTCTGATATTAATATGGCTACACCTGCTTTTTTTTGGTTTCTGTTGGCATGGAATATCTTTTTCCAACCTTTCACTTTCAGTCTGCATGCCTCTTTGTTAGAGAGATGTGTTTCTTATAGGCAACAAATAGTTGGGTTTTGTTCCTTAAGCCAATCAGCCATGTCTTTTAACTGAAGAGTTAAGTCCATTAACGTTTAATGTGACTTTTGATACATAGTGACTTTGCCCTGCTATTTTCCCGGGGGTATTTTCTAGTGTATGCTTTGAGCTTCCCATGCTCTTTTACTGGTAGGTTTTCTTCCTTTACCTTCTTTCATATTGATGGCCGTGTTTCTGTGTTTCTGAGTGTAGCACATCTTTAAGTATCTTTCGCAGGGCCGGATGAGTGGCAACAAATTTTTTCAATTTCTGTTTGCTGTGAAAGGTCTTTATTTCACCTTCATGCACAAATGAGAGCTTAGCAGGATATAATATTCTGGGCTGGCAATTTTTCTCTCTTAGCACCTGTGCTATGTCTCGCCATTCCCTCCTAGCCTGTAGTGTTTCTGATGAGAAGTCTGCTGTGAGTCTGATTGGAGATCCTCTGAGAGTAATCTGACGTTTCTCTCTTGCACATTTTAGGGTCTTTTCTTTATGTTTCACTGTGGTGAGTTTAATTACAACGTGTCGTGGTGAGGATCTCTTTTGGTCATGTTTACTGGGGGTTCTATGAGCTTCCTGTACTAGGATGTCTCTGTCCTTCTCCAGACCCGGAAAGTTCTCTGCTAGTATCTCACTAAAAAGGCCTTCTAATCCTTTCTCTCTCTCCATGCCTTTAGGAACTCCTAGAACTCGAATGTTGTTTTTTTAATAGTATTGTAGATTCCCAACAATATTTTTTAGATTTCTAATTTCCTCTTCTTTTCTTTGGTTTGACTGTATGTTTTCCTGTGCTCTGTCTTCTAAGTCCAATATTCTCTCTTCTGTTTCACTGACTCTGTTTTTTAGACTTTCAAATGTGTTTGTCATTTGATCTATTGAGCTCTTCATTTCATTTTGATTTCTCTTCACTATCACACTTTCCTGCTCTACTAGTTTCTGCGTTTCATTTTGATTCTTCCTTAAAATTTCATTTTCATGAGAGATTTTCAATCCTGTCTAATAAGGATTTCTGTAGTTCAAGGATTTGCTTTTGAAAACTTCTCAATGTTCTTATCATAAATTTTTTGAAATCCGTACCTTGCATTTCTTCTATCTCATCATCTTCATAATCTTGGCTTGGGGTGTTTTGTTTATTTGGAGGCGTCATAGTGTCATCGTTGATCTTGTTCCCTCGATTTTTGTGTTTGTTGGTTGGCATTGTTAATTCTTCCCTCACTGTGAGTTTTTTTTTATATATATATATATATATATATATATATATATATATATACTATGTCTGTGTTAAGTGGACTGCCTGCTGTTGGAGGAGCCTTGGAGGCTTGAGATGGGTGTGGCCTGAGAGCTCTGCTTGGTTCTTCCGGGTTACGGGTGTGCAAAGGTGACACCCTCAGGTTATGCGTGGTAAATCTCTTTTTATTTATTTATTTTATTTTTTTATTCAGGAGGTAAGGAATACTGCACGGCTGAGCAGAATTGATGGTATTTAGCTTCCAATCTCTGGCTTAGACCCAAAGAGTCTGTGCTGGTTCAGTTTCTCCTGTGGATTCCCACTGGGTTGCTTAGGCTACTGAATTGTAGCCTTAGCTCTCCCCTTTTGTTATGCATATCTGAGTGGGGCCTGCTCTTTGTCTCTTGCTCGCCTTTGCAGGGTTGGCAGAGAGAGAGAAACTTGTTTGTACCAGTACCCCCCCACCTTTTTTTTTTTCCTTCTCTCCTGTAGTCAGTCTGGTGAACTTTCCCGCCTCAAAGCCCGCTTCCCTCTAGATTGTTTGCCATTTCCCCGCCAGTGTCTCCGGTTACTGAGCTCACCTCCCCTTCCAGCGCTGATGTGTGGACTCGGAGCCCTGGGCGTCCCTGTTCTCCCCGCTGGTGTCTCTGTGACATCCACTCCCCTTCCCGCACTGGTGCGCAGACCCTGCGGCTCCCACGGCTTGGCTTCCGCACGGTGGGCGACTTTGCTCTCCCAGTAGGTCCTCCGAGTCACAGGCACTAGATCTGGAAGAGTTTCCTCTGCAGTTTTTTCCTGATCCTTTTTCTGAGGCTACCGTAACTCCACTTTTATTAAACTAAATTTTCCCGGACTATCGTTGCGTGCCCCCACTATTCTGCCATCTTGGCTCCGCCCATCCAATGCCCAAATACTTCTTAAAATTCTTATTTCACCATGAATATTTTGAAATTCTGCAAAAGTGCATTCATATACATACATATGTAAAATCTTGATTATTAAGCTTTATAAATTCTAGGTTTGACATATAACCTAACAGTAATAAATAACAGTAGAATACAAAATTTTAGCTGAAGAACAATATATACTAATAAGATTTGAGCATACACACATATATAAATTGATTGCATTTTGTAACACAGCTATATGGCATATATTATCATTGGAAGATACTTTTCTATTAGGCTTTAAAAGTTGAAATTATTGGCGATTCTTTTGTATATATAATATATGTAATATTTCCATTGGGCAATTAATTTCAGATTCTATACATCTTCTTTCTTAAATTGAACTCTGCTGTTTAACATGGATATCACCATATTAGAGAAATGTTTTAAAATTATTTCTTTTGAAATTTTGTAAATTTTAATTTCAGTAATTTTTTTTCTGAGAAATTAGTATCTTACAAAACCTTAGATATCTTTATTTAAGTGTAACCAATCTTTGAAAAAATATTGGTTTAATAACTTTAATACTGATCCAAAGAAAATCTGATTAATTAAAATTTCAAATAAGGCCGGTGCTGCGGTCAATAGGCTAATCCTCCGCCTCTGGTGGCGGCACACCAGGTTCTAGTCCCAGCTGGGGTGCCAGATTCTGTCCCGGTTGCCCCTGTTCCAGTCCAGCTCTCTGCTGTGGCCTGGGAGTGCAGTGGAGGATGGCCCAAGTGCTTGGGCCCTGCACCCCATGGGAGACCAGGAGAGGGCACCTGGCTCCTGCCTTCGAATCAGCGCAGTGCACCTGCCGTGGTGGCCATTAAGGGGTGAACCAATGGAAAAAAAAGGAAGACCTTTGTCTCTGTCTCTCTCTCTCTCACTGTCCACTCTGCCTGTCAAAACAACAACAACAACAACAACAACAAATTCCAAATAAGATTTTCCAATAATCTTTCATAAATTAAAAACAAACTTATCTCATTTTAGAAACTATATGTCAAAATATAATCTAATAATAAGGCAGTTTTTAAACCTTAAATACTCATGTAAATACCACTACCTTCAGAATACTTAAATCACCTGCTACAACAAAATGCCTTTATGTGTAGACTACTGAAAGAACATAAAAATGAGTATAATGAGTCCCTCATCAGAGATCCTTATGCCCCAGAAAGAGGAACAAATTCTTTTTAATTACTAATCTGAATAAGTCTACTATCAGATTTTACATACCTTTATATATCCACAGAAATCAGCACAGTGTCTGACACATAGTAGGTGTTCAGGGTTTATTAAGTCAGTGAGTAAGTAAAAAAAAATGAATGAGCAAACTAAGCATCCTTTAAAAAATAATGTACTTTTCATTTTAACAACAGTGATGTATTATTCAGTAGTTATGTAAGATAATGTTTCTAGTTTCCTAATTTTCCCTACTCCATACTATGAGTGGGAATAGATTGATGATGGTATATGGGGTTAAATTATTTGGTTGTTGTAAAGCAATTCAAAAGCTTACAAATGTGCAGTTTGTCCTGTTATCCTCTAGAGGGAGATCATATACACTTGGGTAAAATATAAATAAATAGAAAGGTTCAGATGGCATGGTCAATTAACACTTTTTTGTTTTTGTTTTTGTTTTTGTTTTGTTTTTTTGTTTGTTTGTTTTGTTTTGTTTTGTTTTGTTTTGTTTTTTTGGGACAGGCAGAGTGGACAGTGAGAGAGAGAGACAGAGAGAAAGGTCTTCCTTTGCCATTGGTTTACCCTTCAATGGCCGCCGTGGCCGGCACGCTGCGGCCGGTGCACCGCGCTGATCCGATGGCAGGAGCCAGGTGCTTATCCTGGTTTCCCATGGGGTGCAGGGCCCAACCACTTGGGCCATCCTCCACTGCACTCCCGGGCCATAGCAGAGAGCTAGACTGGAAGAGGGGCAACCAGGACAGAATCCGGTGCCCCGACCAGGACTAGAACCTGGAGTGCCAGTGCTGCAGGCGGAGGATTAGCCTAGTGAGCCGTGACACCGGCTAAGTTAACACTTTTACATATGGATTTTACAGTTGTCATCCATATTTTTTCACATAAAGTCATTTTACTTTTCTCCAGGTAAATTTCAGAAATAAGCTCTTTGTTAGAGGGGTAATGATATAAACAGTCTTGGATTTCTAATTTTATATTTGGATTCTAAATATAGGGAAATCATAAAACAATGGAGAAGAACAAGAATATAGGGAAGAAGAAAAGTTCATTTACATATGAGTCATAAATTGTATATCACTTCTGACTTTGGAATAGTAATTGTCTTTCCTTTGATTCCATTCCCCTACTGTGTATGAATGTAGCATTTGTTTGGATGTGCACCAAACTGGCAGGGTGGCCTAAATAGTAAGAATTTTCAAATCTAATCATGAACAGTATGTGACTTTCAGATTAGTTTTTAATATTAGGTTTCACCTGGCAGTCAGATAATTAAGGGTTGGGGGTGGATTTCTGATAAACCAGTATGTCTCTTTTTTTTTTTTTTTAATTCTTTATATATAAAGAAACATTAGCAATCTCCTTATGGGTACACCTTTATATATTTTAATAGTAAGATGGGCATGTTAGGCCCTCCACTTCGAACTGGAAGAAATGTGCAAAGGTTGTATGACTGTGATACAAAATCAAACAGTGCCAACAAAAGACATGAGTTATTACCCATTTACAAGTAAGTATTTGTAACTCAGTTTGGTTAATCATTTTCAGATATTTCTTTAAAGGATTTATATAGAATACTATGACTTTTAGCTTTTATATTTAAGTTTTTTTTTTCAAGTCAAAAACCACTAAATAATCTTATAGGACTTAAAGCTGTGATTTTTGATCAACATTTCTAGTGTTATAAGATAAAACTGCTTTAAAATCATTCAACTATAAATTTATAGAGAATTTCAGTAGCAGTCACCTTCGATCTTCTATAATTGTTTTCATGAAGTTTTCTTTTTAGAATAATAGTTTTAAGCAGAAGAGTATAGGAAGTGATGTTCCTGTACAAAGGGTCTTCAAAATCTTCACAGAAAATGTGTATCATGGAAAAACTATACAAGTACTTAAAAAACTTCTGCAACAAAATAAATTTCTTTTAGTTCCATTTCTGTGAACATTTTGAAGTGTTCTCATGTATTGTATTATCTTGCCAGACTGCCTTTTAGTGAAGCAAATGATGAATTAGTATAGATGGCCTGAAAAAAGATCTCAGAACACGTTAAGTCTAGCAATCGTTACTCTTTATTAGTAGATTGTAAATATCACAAAAGACAGAGATACTCTTTTCTGGCCTAGCTGACTGAGAAAATGTGGCAGTGATGTCATTTTAAAACTCTATAGCATGAGTCTTCAAGGCTTAACAATTTGGACCTCACTGTCAAATCTATCCCCTATCTTAAGTGGTGAAATTAGGGCCTAATAACTTAATTTGCTTGTTAACAGCATATAATAAACTCAATTACCTCTTAAACCAATTCCTACTACAACATTTTACCTACTATGTGTATATGAAAAATATTAATAAATTTAATTAGCACACAATAAAATAAAGATGAGAGAAGTCTTTAAGATATGAACAGCAGCCATGTTTTATTTGTTTTGTTTTGTTTTGTTTTGTTTTGTTTTAATTTATTTGAGAGATAGAGAGAAAGCACTCCATCTGCTGGTTCATTCACTAGATATCTGCAGTATTCCTCAATTCGGGCTGAAGCTGGGAGCCAGGAACTCTATCAGGGACCCCCCATGGGTGGCAGTAACTCATTTACTTGAAACATTCTTGGTAAATACTAGAAGGAAGACTTTGTGCTCTGAGCCATTTTTCTTTGTTGTGGTATGACTCTGTGTACCTTCTGAAGTGGACCTTTAAGAAACACTAGTAGAAAGATAAATTAAGCACAATTCTAAAGTTAAACCTTCTTTGATCACTTATTTGAGCTATAATAGGTGGATTCCAGATCCGATTCTAGCCAGAAGAAGAAAATGCATGACTGATACTAGAGCAGCATGTTTCAAATACTGATCAGTCAGGACAGACAGTTCTTCAATTTCCTAAGAATAATGTTTGACATTCAAATTCTACCTCTTAAAAGATATTACTAAATATAAATGATAGTTAATATGAGAGCTATTAATGTTGATAATTTCTTTTATTTTCCTTTATATGTAAACCTTTTGAACTTTATCTGATGCAATTATCATGTTTATGAGTATATTTGTATCACTTGCGTAGCTCATGTGTATATTATATAAAGGTGATAGGATTTCTAATAAGACTATTCTAGAGCAAAGGGAAAAAAGCACCCTTGTCATTCAAATGCAATTCTTTGACAATTATTTTTGTAGAGCTTGAATTCCTAGAAAGGTACAGTAGCAGTTCTGCAAAATATAAAAGGAATCTACAAAAGTAGAGTAGACTAACTCACATGGATGGAGTAGGAGTGACAATTTGAAGAGTTCCAGGACATCCTATGCATGCACAAAGGTGATTCTTTGCTTGTGGAAGTTTAGAAGTAATTGAAGGGATTTACTCCAAGCAACTGCTTTCTTAAGGAAGGCATTGCATTCTGAATATGAGATTTGTAATACAACTCACTTAAGTAAAAGTTCAAATACAACTCTGATCACAGAGCTTCGCAACCTACATAATCTCTCTGAACCCAAGTTTTATTCAACTTTAAAATGGAAAGATATCTTCTGAAATTTTGGAGAAATAAATAAAATGAGGGGCCGGTGCCGTGGCGCTATAGGCTAATCCTCCGCCTTGCGGCGCTGGCACACCGGGTTCTAGTCCCGGTCAGGGCACCCTGGTACACCGGATTCTGTCCCAGTTGCCCCTCTTCCAGTCCAGCCCTCTGCTGTGGCCCGGTAGTGCAGTGGAGGATGGCCCAAGTCCTTGGGCCCTGCACCCGCATGGGAGACCAGGAGAAGCACCTGGCTTCTGGCTTCAGATCAGCGAGATGCGCCGGCCGCAGCGTGCCGGCCGCAGCAGCCATTGGAAGGTGAACCAACGGCAAAAGGAAGACCTTTCTCTCTCTCTCTCTCTCTCTCTCTCTCTCTCTCACTGTCCATTCTGCCTGTCAAAAAATAAATAAATAAATAAATAAAAATAAGAAAATAACATGAGGTAGATGCAGTTCATATTTGGCATGTAGTGGATATTTGACAAGTAGTCCACATTGTTACTACCTGCATGTATTTTGGAAGTAGCCACTTAAAATTTAGAACATTCTATCTTGGTCACATAAATAGAGTCAGAAGAATTTTAGCGAAACTTTGAAGTTCTAATTGAAAGGAATTTTTAAAAATATTCTCCTTGTTCATATAATAACAGTACATTGCTTATTTATGAATGTAAAGATTTGACTAAATCTCTGAAAAGGGTTGAAATAATGCTTTGCTGAACATCTGATTCCTGACTGCAGCATACTAGCTGTATTACCTTGAACAAGTTACTGAAGGGCTGTTTGCCTCAGTTGCTTCATCTATAAAATGGAGTTATTAGTTATTATATGTGTCATAGGATTATTAAGATTAAATAAGCTTATATATGCAAGATAATCTGAATGTGTTTGGCATGTAGTAAATAAGAGCATATAGATGCTAACTTATAGTATTAGCAGTAACATTAGTAATGATATCATCAATTATGCTAAATTTTTATACAAATTATAATTTATGTCTTCTAGCCTTCTATAAAGGTTTTTTTTGTTGTTGTTGTTAGAGAAAGAGAGAGAGAGAGAAATCAGTCTTCTGTCTGCTGATTCACTCCCCAAATGGCCATAACGGCCAGATCTTTACCAGTCAGAACCCAGGAACCAGGAGTGATAGCCCAGAGCTGGATTGGAAGTGGAACAGCCAGGTCTCGAACTGGTACCCATATGGGATGCCGGCACTATAGGTGGCAGCTTTACCTTTACACCACGGTGCTGGCTCCAGGGTTACCATTTTATAAATAAAAGAGCTCATTTGGAGAGAACTTGACCACTATCACAAAGCTAGTTAATAGTAGTTTAGATTTGAATCTAGGATCATCTTAATCCCAAAGCCTTTAGAATTACATCATCATTTAACTTTGTAAACTTTCTCTGATTTCTGAAGTTTCAACGTGAAAATTAAGTGATGATCCAACCAGAGCCTTCTCTAATGCCATATAATTTATATTGTGCAATTGAGAAAATTAAATCTTTAAAGGAAAAATTACATTAGCCCCTTTAAGTTTATAAATTGAATTTTTATCCTTTGAAATAATTAGTGTTTCATTTTATCAAGCACATTTCACATGCTTATGATAATGATAAAAACTTGTTTAATGTATTATTTGTACCTATTCTTAGGTATTAAATAGAACTTGCCTATTCGAGAATACTATAAATTTACATTTGTAAAGAAAATTTGAAGCCTTTCAAGATGGTTAACTTATAAATTTCATATAAAGCATGTGTACATATTTGAATCGATTTTAGATATTATGAGAATGATGTTAGTAGTGCAAGATGCTTGTTCATTTATCCTTGGTATTAACTACTGTTTGTTTTCATATTTCAAATAATTGGGCTTTAATGTTTTGAATTTCTCTGCAGCTTCTAATTACTTTTGTAGTCAAATATAGACAATTTGAGAAATAAAGCTTACTATTCAAGACTTTTTCATTATGCCATCTCTTTTTTTTCTTCTAGAACTAACATCAAACCTCGAAATTCCACACCACCTAGTCTGGCGCGAAACCCTGCCTCCGGTGTGCTTACAAGCAAAAGAAAAACATACGCTGACAGTTACAATGCAAGGTATGAGCCATCCTGCTATTCTGGTAAATAAAAATGAGATTAGATTCCCAGGAACCAAATACAAAAATAGATAACAAGCTATTTATAGAATGAATTTTTTCCTTTGCTGTTTGGTTTTAAGTTGTACACTAAACACATAGTTTGAATTTAAAATTTTCCTCTACCTCAGTGTTATAATTGTAGTTATAAATGCTCAATTTATTCATTTTATTGAATTCATTTGCATTTTTGTTTTAATTCTAACTGCAACATGGTTTTTACTTCTACAAATGGAGAAATAGACCCTTCAAACTACTGCTATTATGATTTTCAGCAACATTTTAGTATGTAAATCTCCTCTGAGCTGATTATTAATATACCTCGTTTTCTAATGTGTAATATTTACTCATCTTTTACATTACTGTTTTAAATATAATGAACTCATCTTAATTATAGCTATTTGTTTTTATCTCTATCTCACCCTTTTCCAGAAGCTTTTAAGGAAAGGTACATAAATATGTAAAGTACCATGAGATACAGCATTCTTTATAATTAGGAAGAATAGGGAGAAAAAAGGAGAAAATGAGAAAAGATACAATGAAAATGAGTGATACTTGTTTGTATAGGGACCCAAGGACTCAGGCTGTCCTTCACTGCTGTCCCAGGCACATTAGCAGAGAGCTAGATCTGAAGTCGAGTAGCTAGGACTCCAACAGGCATCCATATGAGATGTTGGCGCCTCAGGCGGTGGCTTTACCCATTAAGCCACAGCACCAGACCCCTCCTCCCAGAGATTTTGGTTTCTTTGGTTTGCACATTGGGGACCTGGGCATCTGCCACTTCAAAAACTTTATGAGAGTGATGCTTATGCATAACAAAGGATGAGAACAATGTGTAAATTTCTGTTTCTAGTTGGATTCTTTAGTTTTGATACATCTTAAATATTAAAATTTAAGTGAGTTTCTTAGAGGCCTAGAGCATGGTCATATTATGTTTTGTGTGTGTGTGTGTGTGTGAGAGAGAGAGAGCGCGCGAGAGAGAGAACCTTGTGTTTTGAATCATGGTTCTATTATGTTGTTGCATAATATGGCCTTGTTTTTTAATCTAAGTAAGACTAAAGTTTTCTTTTGAAAATGGAAAACTTGATAAATATGTATGCATATATGCAGTAATCTACCTAAATAAAAGGGTCATCTTATCTTTCCAAAAAGATGTCAAAAGAAATGCCAAAAGACGGAGGCAAAAATCACATTAAGAAATAAATTTGGGTTCTTTGCTTATATTTTTTGAAAGGTGACTGATGTCTAATGGGAAACCTAGACCCCTGTCCGTTGCTTGCTGGACTTACCTCCTTACCCCCAAGCAGATAGAAATAAATCTAGTTATAACAGATGAAGAAATCTCAGTGATTTCTTCTATTAAAACATGGTAGAATACATGTCTTTGAAAAGTTCTAAAATCACCTAAAAATGCTGGATATAGAGAAAAAGCTATTATTTACCAAAAATGTGATGAGATATATATCCTTTAAAAAGATAAATTATTGAGTAAATAATAATAACATCTTAGTAAATTTTCTGCATATCAGATCAGTATATTGGAAGTTTTTGTTGCCTAAAACAGTGTTTAGATTCTTACAGAAACACAAATGTAAGGTCCCTAGGAATCATTTACAAAGCTAAGCAAGAATTTTAAATTTGATGAAGAACATTATAAAACCTCAACAACATCAAGAAAAAAGACATGCCTTTTCCATAAAATAGAATGTTTAATATCATAAAGTTGCCTCATAAACACATCTTTTCCCAAATTAACACACAAATTCAGTGCAATTTTCAAACGAAATTCATGTATCTTGACAAGCTGTTTTCCAAATATCAGTGGAGAACAAAAGACCAAAATTAGCAGAGAAGTTAAAGAGAATAATGTGTGACTGATGTATGAAACTACAATAATTACAGCATTGTTATATTGCCTCAAGCATAGACAAATGGAATAATCAGAAATGACATTTGTAAAAAGATCCCAGTCCCACAAATAACTGGAAATTTGTCACATTTCAGAGGTAGCAATGAATATTTGGAAATTTGAAAAGTACTAGGACTGGCCGGTGCCGCGGCTCAATAGGCTAATCCTCCGCCTTGCGGCGCCGGCACACTGGGTTCTAGTCCTGGTCGGGGCGCCGGATTCTTTCCCGGTTGCCCCTCTTCCAGGCCAGCTCTCTGCTGTGGTCCGGGAGTGCAGTGGAGGATGGCCCAAGTGCTTGGGCCCTGCACCCCATGGGAGACCAGGATAAGTACCTGGCTCCTGGCTTTGGATCAGCGCGGTGCGCCGGCTCCAGTGCGCCAGCTGTGGCAGCCACTGGAGGGTGAACCAACAGCAAAGGGAAGACCTTTCTCTCTGTCTCTCTCACTATCCACTCTGCCTGTCAAAAAAAAAAAAAAAAAAAAAAAAAACAGAAAAGTACTAGGACTATAGGACATGTGTTATGTAGAAAAAATTTTTTATACATTACCATATAAGGTCTGAAAAATCAATTACTAGTAAATTAAGGTGGAAAGAAAGCTGTCAGTATTTTAAAATATAGAAAAATCTTACTCTGAGCTAAGAAAGGATTTCTTAGTTAATTTAGCAAGTGTTCAAAGGATTGATGTATTTGATCAAATTAAAGTAAAAAACTAATACTGCAAAAGACTGCCTGGATAGAGTGAAATAACGTGGTGGATTAGAAAGGAAAATTAACAGTGTACATAGCAAGTCAAGAATATTTGGGTGTTTTCTACATTTAAGATTTTAACTGAACCTTTACAGTACAAAAATATCTGGGTTTTTTGGGGAGAGGGGATTGGAAATGGACAATTAACAGAAGAGATTCAGGTGGCAAGAAAACATGAAAAAAACATGATCAGCCCCACAAGCAGTTGGGAAAAAGTATGTGACATCCACAGTAGTCTACCATTTCGTCTCCACCAGATTAGTAAAAATGAAATACTCGACACAGTACAAATTTTGTTAAACTATGATTTTGAGAAACATTATGGCACCAGAGTGTAAATTTTACTAACCAGTCTGTAGAGAAATTTGACGATTATCTGGTTAAGTAGAAGCTTTGAGATTTTGACAGATATTTATTAATGTTGGTGTTATAAGTGTTGATTTCCCTAAATGTGCCTACTGCAGAATCGAAATAATCTTTTATCTTTTGAAGAAGTTCTTAGATATTTTCTTGACAATAATGCTAGCCTATTTAACCTTGTTTCTCTTCCTTGACTAGAGTTACATCTTTTAATTCATTAATATTTTCTTTGTGGTTTAAAGGAATTATGCTGATGCTCTAAGTTTGCTCTCAATAAGAATATGCTTCTTGGCCAGCGCCACGGCTCACTAGGCTAATCCTCCACCTGAGGCACCAGTACCCCAGGTTCTAGTCCCAGTCGGAGCGCTGGATTCTATCCCGGTTGCTCCCCTTCCAGTCCAGCTCTCTGCTGTGGCCCAGGAAGGCAATGGGGGATGGCCTAGGTGCTTTGTCCCTGCACTTGCATGGGAGAGCAGGAGGAGGCACCTGGCTCCTGGCTTTGGATTGGCGCAGCGCGCCAGCTGTAGCAGCCATTTGTGGTGTGAACCAACGGAAAGAAGACCTCTCTCTCTCTCTCTCTCTCTCTCTCTCTCACTGTCTAACTCTGCCTGTCAAAAAAAAAAAAAAAAAGAATATGCTTCTTAATGCAGGAGATGATAATTCTTCCTACCTCTCTCGAGTGGGGCTGAAAGAGAGGGAAAAAAGTATTCAAATACATAAAATCCTGATATTTCACTTCATTTTCATCTCTGTGACTTTTAAATCTCCACTGCTTTATTATAAAGACATTGATTCTTTTTTAAAATATTTATTTTCATCAGAGAGAGAGAGAGAGTTGAGAGTGTTTCCATCTGCTGGTTTACTCCCTAAATGTCCTTCATCAGCCATTGGCTAGTCTAGGCTGAAGCCAGATGCCTGGAACTCTTATCAGAGTCTTCCACATGGTGACAGGGGCCTAAGTACTTGAGCCATCATCTACTGCCTCCCAGGGTACACATTAACAGCATGGGAAACAGACTTGGGACTTGATCACAGACCCTCTGCTAACGGGATGTGTGTATCCCAAAAGCAGCAGCTTACCTCAGTTCGGCCACAATGCCTGTCTCCTCCACCTTTTTTAAAATGATTCTTTATTACCTCTAAAATGTATGAAAGTCTTACCAAAAATGTGAATCACCTAGGATACCTATGTGGGAAAATGATGTTTTATTTTCCAGTAGTATCAAGCTTACAATCTCCAAGTGACTAAAAGTTCATTTTATGGTGGCTTTAAAATAAGCATCATAAAGAGAGGGAGGGAAGTAAAGACATTCTTATTGAAATCAAATAGATTTATTTCTTTATTTGAAAGGCAGAGGCAGAGAGAGAGATGTCTTCCATCACAGGTTCACTCCGCAAATGGCTGCAATAGCTAGAGCTGGGGTGATCTGAAGCCAGGAGCCAGGAGCTGCTGCTTTCAGGTCTCCTATGTGGCTGCAGGGGCCCAAGGACTTGGGCCATCTTCTTCTGCTTTCCCAGGCCATAGCAGAGAGCTGGATTGGAAGTGGAGCAGCCGAAATTCAAACCGGCGCCCATATGGGATGCTGACACTTCAGGCAGCAGCTTTACCCGCTGTGCCACTATGCTGGGTCCCCTCTCCCCCTTTTTTTTAATAGATGTTTTTGTGTATTAAATGCCTACACAGAAAACGGATGGAAAGCTTGACTACCTTTGGTCAAGATAAATTCTCCTGACAGTGATAAATATGATGCTAAAGAAAACATTAAGAATTACAGTATTTACCTACAGGAATTCTCTTAATTTGAAATAGAAGACCGTTAAAAATGAGATTAAGTTACTAATAACACTTTTCATATCCTGTTTCTTAAGGCTTATAGATTGAAAGCTTTTGATGTGAACTTTGTCTTTCTGTTTTTTTCTATACTTCTTCAGGCCAGATGGAGAC